AAAAGAGCAGAGACAACGTGAAAGGTTTTTTTTTTTTTTTACTATTGATTATTTATGTATTTTGTTCTATATTTTTACTTCTTATTCTTTATTTTGCTCATTTTACGCGTCTAAATTCGTCTAAATTCGTCTAAATTAAATTTTTTTCCAATTTTAGAATTCTTCGAAATCGTCATGCTGCTCAAATGTCTCGAGACAAAAAACGTAGACAAATGGCTGATTTAGAATCTCAAAATACTATTCTTAAAGAAGAAAATGCTCATCTATCTAAACGTTTAAAAGTTGTTGAAGAGGAAAATGCAAATTTGTCTGCAAAACTTGATTCAATTTCGGCTCAACTCGCTGAAATTCAATCTCATCTAGCCGTATCCGAGATGAATAAAGTCCTCCTTGATGGTGTTCGCGGATCTGCAGTATCCGCGGCCTCGGAAAAAGAATCTCTGGATTTTTCTAATATTAAAGAGGATCCTATTAATAATAATGGTAGTCCTGATGATTTTCTACTCCTACCTTCCTCCTTAAATAATATTTCCTTTCCAAGAGAATCGTCCGAGAAGTCCCAGCAGCGGCCCGTCAAGACGAGGAACCTTTACGGGATGTCGTCGATAACCCCTACCTTTCCGATTTGGATGTGTCCTCCACAAATGCTGAAGCAACTATTGTTGACCTTCTCGATAGTTTTCTGGACTACGACTGGTCAGCAGAAGAATTTTCTGCTATTCAGCAACAATCAAATGGTATTTGTTGACGATATTGTCATCTCGGAGCTCCTCCGCCGCTTCGAAGAGAAGCGTTGGTCGAAATCCGTAAAGGCTGTACGTGGTTGTGGTGCTTCTGGTTTGAAGCGCGCCCCACGTGATTGGAGAAAGTACCCTCCATAACAACTACAGAATTAATGATTGATATTTTTGCACTAATAATTTTTTTTCTTTTGTTTTGTCAAATTGTCTAAAACAACCTTGCGAAATAATAAGCTCTAATGTAACAAAATTTATTCCATTTAGTAGTTATTAACTTAGTTATTATTAGTCTTTTAGTACTTAAAACCTATTTTTGAAAATTTTGCTTTATAAAAATTATATTATACACGAATGTATTTTCACTATTCTTGTTTGGTGAGCCATTAAAATAAAATTTTTTTCCTACTATATACTTTGTATGTTAATAATCTCTATTTACATCATATACATACATATTATAATGCAAATAAATTTTAAGTTTTACACATTTCAATTTGGAATTTGTATCTTTGAGACTTGTATTTTACTGTCGACTACCCCTAGGGCGAAAAACATTCATTTTTGATACTTCTGTATCTACTTTTTGATATACCTAAACATACAGTATTTTAAAATTTTTCATATCAGCGAATTTTTATAATTTTTAACCTATATACTGTATTTGTTTATTTTATACGTATGATTTTATTACGTACGTATAATCTTCTCAATCCAATTATAGGAACATAAAATTATTATAGATCAAATCAAATTTTAACTAATAAAACAACTATCTGACCAATACAATTGCTAAAAAAATGTTTGTATAACTTATTTTATTGGGTTTTTATTAAAAAAAAAAACAATAAAATGAATTATATAAATACTTTTTAAGCAATTTTATTAACCAAATAATCAGTTTTATTAGTTTTATTTGATTTTTAATAATTTTATCTTATAATTGGATTTTAGTAATTTTGGGCTTGCTAAAATCACTTTGTTGAGATTATTTTAATAATAAAATTATTTAAAATAAACTAGTAAATTAAGAATTATTTT